GTTGCGTATCCTTTACAGGACGTTGCAGAACCAACTCTAACAGCCCCTGGCTGTGGTGTGGTTTTTCTAGGTAAATCTACGTCTAGTTGTTGCCATTGCTTCCTGGACGGTCGGCTTTCTTGATACCACTGTTGAAGCCAACGCGAGCTGGGATCGAACCCGGCATCCCGGCATTACGAAGCGTTCGCATTGACTTAGCCACAGAGCCGACTGTATGGAAACACAGATACTGAAATAGTTATGTAGATAGCAAGATATGGAAAAGCATGATCGTCAACGCCAGGCGGCAAAGCACTTAACGATGATGATTATGGTGATGATGAAGATGTCCGTGACCATGCTAGTAAAAACTGATGAAGGGATTGTGATGATGGAAAGCACACAGTAGCCAGTAAATAGTAGAGTTGGCTTGCAAAGGTCTCAAATAGTCATGCAGCTAACTGACGGTCTCTCGAAAATACCTTTGTTATTTTGGGGAAAAAGTTAGGTTGGGTGGCATTAAAGATTTTGATTCGTTGTATGATGTTGAATTTCTCCAATCAGGTGCCGTCTCCACAGTGAATGTTGGCTGAAACGGATTTCCAACACTCTGTCTTTCGCCCTTGATATGGAATCACTTAAATGTTGTTCGTCCATCTCTTGATGCTGTTCTCCTATTTGTACCAATGTCTGCCTCTTGCTTGGTTCTTTACTGTTAACTATGTTTTTTTAATGGTTATGAAAGATTTTCTTTTAACATTTATCTATTTTTTAATTATCTTTTCGTATGGTGCTCCATTATGGGGGAGGGGGAGGGAGGAGGGACAGATCCACTGCCCTATAACAACCGTGTCGTAAGAGTAAGAGTAATTAGGGATTTTCCTTTAAAGTCAGAGTGTACCTGCCTACAGAAGAAGAAGAAGAAGAAGAAGAAGAAGAAGAAGAAGAAGAAGAAGAAGAAGAAGAAGAAGAAGAAGAAGAAGAAGAAGAAGAAGAAGAAGAAGAAGAAGAAGAAGAAGAAGAAGAAGAAGAAGAAGAAGAAGAAGAAGAAGAAGAAGAAGAAGAAGAAGAAAAAGAAGAAGAAGAAGAAGAAGAAGAAGAAGAACAAGAAGAAGAAGAAGAAGAAGAAGAAAAAGAAGAAGAAGAAGAAGAAAGAACTTTATTTTATTTTCAAAGGGTCACAAATTGGGCACGCAGGCCCGTCTTACATTCGGCCCTTCCAGTCAACCATCTTTTGCACAGCAGTTGTATTTTACTAATAAAGCATGTTATGATCATATGATGATATGCATATAATGAATATTATAAAAGAACAAAAAAGCATGAGTTGTAAAGTGCATGCAAAAACCCGCGCGTGCATACACACACCCATATACATACATACACCCACATACACACGCTCCCCCACTCACTTACACACACATACATACATACATGCATGCATAAATTACATACAGGCATACATACATACATACATACATACATACACACGTACATACAAACATACATACAGGCATACACACATACACACAAACATACATAGATACAAACATACACACAAACATACATAGATACAAACATACAGGCATACATACATACATACAAACATACAGGCATACATACAAACATACAGGCATACATACATACATACAGGCATACATACATACATAGAGGCATACATACATACATACAAACATACATACATACATATACATACATACATACATATACATACATACATACATACATATACATACATACATACATACATACATACATACATACATACATACATACATACATACATACATACATACATACATACACACACACACACACGCACGCACGCACGCACGCACGCACGCACGCACGCACGCACGCACGCACGCACGCACGCATACATACATACATACATACATACATACATACATACATACATACATACATACATACATACATACATACATACATACATACATACACACATACAAACATACATATATACATACATACAAACACACAGTTATAAATACAGTCATGCATAGAGACACATACATGCACACACGGACACTCCCACAGAGACACACACACTCACTTAGACAAAAATACAGACACACACATAGACACTATAAACACACACAGGGAAACACACAGCAGACATATATACATTCGTGCTCACACACTGACACACATACACACACATACGCAGACAAACATGCAGACACATACATACAGCCACATAGACGCACACGCTGTCAAACAAACACACATACAAAATACAAACAGGCAGACAAACACATACTGACACCCACACAGACAAACACGCAGAAATTGATACACATACAAACACATAGAAATACACACGCAGACACATATATTCAGCACGCACCGACGTATACTCTGACATGCAGACACATATACACAACAAAGGGGCACACACAATACACACAGAGAAACACACATAGACATGCACACACAGACAGACACATGCTGACACATACACTCACGCAGACAGACATACAGACACCCACACACAGAGATACATACATACAGCCTCACAGACACACCCGCAGACAAACACACATAAACATACACAGGCAAACATGCAGACAAACACATACGAGGACACACACAGACACACACGAAGATTTACACAGTCACATCAAATATGCAGACAAACACCGAGACACACGCGTATGCAGACAAACACAGAGACGCACACACAGACACATATACACAGTCACATATACACAGGCACATCTATCCAATTGCGCGCACACACACACACACGCAGACACACACACACACGACAAAGAGGCACACTTAAACACACAGAAACACACACAGACTAATTCATACTGAAACATACACGTGGACATACGCGCGAACACACACACATTCGCACACATACACAAGGACACAGACGCATACATTCGCAGACACAAACGCAGATACACAAGCAGACAAACAACATACTCAGAATCATATGTATACAAACACGCCTACACATACATACATATCACACACACGCGCGCGCGCGCAAGCATGCATATCATACACACCTTGTTTAATAATAAATTGATAATGCAATATGTGTTATATTACATTCAAGGTGGCATATAATCGCTTGTAAGTATGAATTGAAAAAGTTTACAATTAAATGAATGGGGACTTTTAGAAGAAGAGAAAGTAGTAGTAGAATAAGAAGGAAGAGGGGAGACGGAGGAGGAGGAGACGGGAGGAGGAAGAGGAGAAGAAGAAGAAGAAGAAGAAGAAGAAGAAGAAGAAGAAGAAGAAGAAGAAGAAGAAGAAGAAGAAGAAGAAGAATGAGAAGAAGAAGAAAAAGTAGATGTGGCCGAAATATTTAGTTTGTCTCTTGTTTATTTCTTTCAGCAGCTCTAGTTTTATCCTAAGTGGCATGAGAACCTCTGTATTTGAATGTTTCATTGAAATACAACGTATTCTTCCAGAGACAGTGTTGGGTTACACATTATATAATATACACGGAATAATTTCAGGCCTTAGTCTACAAGAAGACATGTCTGCAGACCTTCAACGCCTCCTTCTGTGAAGACATGGACAACAAGACATTCCAGAAACTTCACAAAGATAAGCAGACAGTTATACAGGGCGATGCTTCCCATTGGATACTGCTTAGCAACGTGGGCATGACTGTCCCCTCAATTTTAATAGTACTGTTGTTTGTAGGCTCTTGGGGAGACCGGGTGAGAATTGTCTGTCTCTCATGTTTCTCATTACATTATCATAATATTTTATGCAATCTTTCTTTGCCAGTTGAGGGGAGAAAGATCATTCTTAAAAGCTACAAATTGATATATGAAAGTGAATCATGGACAGTAAGTAATGAAAATTTATCTGGAGGCTGCGGAGATGTGGTTTTATAGACGAATTACGAAAATACCTTGGACAGATAAAAAGAGTAATGAGGATATCTTGAAAGAAACTGACTCACGAAGAGAACTGACTGCCTACATCAGAGTGAGACATTCTGCATTCTTTGGTCATGTGATGAAAAGGAGAAAACTGGAACACAATGTGACGGTAGGAAAGTTGGAGGGAGGAGAGGCAGAGGGAGACCTAGAGAACAGATGCTGGACAGTCTGACATCATGGCATGGAAGATCATCTGTGTCAGAGATGATCGAAAGTGCACGAGACAGAAAATTGTGGATAGACAAGAGCACCAACGCCACACCGAGTGGGCTTTAATATTGCATAATCTATACAGTCTTCCATTTTTACATTATTTCCACATTTTTTTTTCTGTTCTCAAAATCCAGAATACTAAATGTCTCAGATCATTAAAGATGCTAATATACTTAACATTTCCTTGCATGATGAAAACTAACAGCCGTGGTATAGCGGCTAAACGCTCGACTATGAATCCGAAGGTCACGGGTTCAAGTCCGCATTGAGCTTAATTTAAAAAAAAAAACTGACCTTGGCTCCGAGGTCGTCCCAGTCTTAAATGAATACAAGGTAAAATCCTAGGATGTGAAGGAAGCCGGTAGGATGTTGAACACATCAGCCAGCGAGTGCTTGTGGGTCTAAACACACACTTCCAGCACAGTATATCCAATAGAAAAGGGTTCTATTGGTATGATGATGATAATGCAGAGAACTCGGTAGCAATTCAAGACCATACCAGAACAGGATAAACAGACTTGGCAGAAACGCGCCGACCATGCTTTTCAGACTCAAAACGGGACACTGTAAATTCAAAGCACACCTTCATCGAAGTGTCTCTTTGACCCTGTCGCATACGGTTGTAAGGCAGATTTGCAAACTTCCAAGCATGTTTTACATTATTTCCCAGACTGCCCGTCAGCGAGAAGAATTCTGAATGACAGTGGCAACCTTGGAAGACAGACTATAGGGCGCCGGGTAGACCACAAGGACACCCTCCAGTTTTTGACCTATTTTGGAAGTTTCACATAAAACATTTATCACTGAAGAAGAAGAAGAAGAAGAAGAAGAAGAAGAAGAAGAAGAAGAAGAAGAAAAAGAAGAAGAAGAAGAAGAAGAAGAAGAAGAAGAAGAAGAAGAAGAAGAATAAAGAAAAAGAAGAAGAAAAAGAAGAAGAAAAAAAGAGGATGCAGCTGCAGCGGCGACAGCAGCAGAAACAGCAGCAGGTAGAAGCAGAAGCAGAAGCTACAGCAGGGAGAAGAAGAAGAAGAAGAAGAAGAAGAAGAAGAAGAAGAAGAGAGAGGAGGAGGATAATGAGGAAAAAAGATAAAGATTGATGGAAGTTTCATTTGTATACACATGTTCATGTATACACAGCTCGTGACTTCTGTGAATGTAGGTCAACAGAAAGCTTCCTATTTTGATACCATGCATTGGGGCGCTGATCTACAACCTGGTCAACCTCGTCAACGCCTACTACATGGACTGGCCCTTGGATTATCTAATGATTGGCCCTGTATTTAACGGATTGTTTGGTAGCTATACTACAGTGCTGATGGGGGTGTACACTTATACGACGCACGTCGCTAGCGCCAACCATAAAACCGTAAGATATTTATTCTCGTTCTTGTATCACATACTCTCATTCTTGTAACAAATACTCTCATTCTTGTAACAAATACTGTCATTCTTGTAACAAATACTATCATTCTTGTTACAAATACTCTCATTCTTGTAACAAATACTCTCATTCTTGTAACAAATACTCTCATTCTTGTAACAAATACTATCATTCTTGTAACAAATATTATAACTCATATAATAATCATAATCTTCGATAAACACTAGGGCTGAATGCCTGTTCTTTGCACTTGAATACGTTAGGATGAGATTTATACCGACTTCATAGGATAATAAAAATCTAACGCCGCTCACCGTCCAGACAAACTGGAGTAAGTTTAAAAAAACACAATAAAAACAACACATTTCTCAAAGTGTATCAAGATAGGCAATGTTTCATAATAATCGGCTACGACAACATTTAATTTTAAATAGTTGTTACCAGGAAGTAGAAGGGAGAGAAGGTTGTGGAGTAGAGGGGGGTGGTGGAGGAGACGCAAAAGAAGAGAAACAAGACTTCAAGGAAGTACTCCAGATATATATATATATATTAACTTAATGTACCAAAACGAAACATTATCATACCGGATGCACTGATAATAAATTCACACTACACCGGTGTACTGATTTTAAATCTAGAATTTCTTATCTCACTTAACATGGAGAACACGTACGAATGTTCATAAGTCTGCAGTATTGCGGGGACCATGAACTCAGATCATAATCTTCTCAAGCCATTACGTTTTAAATATAAAATGGAATTAAAAAAAAAAAAATACTTACATCCTACACGATGCATCAAGGAGAATTGGCGCACACACAGCATCTTGTATTGAAAGCGTAGGTAGACAGGCCATGTTAAACGTCATTGTGGTTTGCAGAGAACAGTGATGAGGGTACCGTTTCAGAAGACGATGCAGACGCAGACTTTTAGAGGGAAATAGGAGCTCCACAACAGTCCTCGGAGACTGATTGTCTATCGGATCAGGGGAGAAAAGGGGTTGAGGGAGGGGGGAGATATACAGAAAAAAAAACCCCACTAGGCTATAACCTAATAACAACGTGATGACTAAAGAGACGAAGAAAAAGAGAATTAGAGACAAGAGATGAGTAGACCACCTAAACTGAGCTGCACAAAATGGTAAAGGCGGCGTGGCGTTGGTTGAGAGCCTGTGCTCCTTTGGAACATAAAGGCAGCAGCCAAGTGTGATCACTTCACATGTGCAAACGTTAGCAGGTAACGATTAAACTTGAGCAGCATCATGTCATAATGTCCTCGTCCTTTCGCTGTTGAAAGTATACGTGCGCAGATAGCATCGTAGTACAGTACTAGTAACAGGTTGTTTTCGCAAGTTAATTTTCTGCATGAGCGACGTAAGCATGCAACGAACGTTCTTCACGCCATCTTCGAGGGTAAACCGAGTGGAGCATTTGTAACAAATAGTCTTCTGCTCTTCTTCTTCTCTTCCACCTTGTACCTCATTGAAGTGTCGGGGGGGAGATGTAACATTCGTTGATAAGCTCTGTCTAGAGAACTATTATGACTGATGTTCATTTCTGTAAGGCTGCTCTTAATGCCATTAGTCCATATTTTCCGAGGTCTTCCACTCGCGCTATACCCGTTGTAACGTTTCAGTGTGGCTCGCTGTGGCAGATAGTACCAGGGCATTCTTGTTAGGTGTCCAAACCACTTCATTTGTTGTTCTTTGATGACTTGTAAGAATGGCTTTGTTCCTAGCATTCATCTAATTTCGTGTTCTGTCTTTCCTTGATACTCCTGCAGCTCTTCTAAGGCATTTCATCTCTATTGCCTCACTTTTACGTTCATCGGAGAATGTAAGTGTCCACGTTTGGCACTGATAGCATAGTGTTGGTCAAAAAATTAGTTCTGACAAGATTCGCTTTAGTACTCCGGGGTATCTGCTTGTGTGTCAACAGGGGAGATGTAATACATAGTAACCTGCAATAATAAATAGCAAAATAATGGTTTCTTTGTTTTGTTTAGCAATAGAAAGTTCGAGCAGCAATCACAGGATTTGCATGCACGCTTTGTCAGTGCATATGGACGGAAGGAGAAGAAGAAAATTAGCATGACGTTAGCAACATCACGTTCTGTTCTCAAAGTGATGTATGCACTTGTGTTTGTGTCTAGACACGAGTGGCGATCGTGGAGTCGATGACCTTCATCGCTGGCACCATCAGCGTGTTTGTGTCGGGACTGTTGCTGGACGCTGTGGGCTACGTGGCTGTCAATGGAATTTGTTGCGGATGTGTAGGTAGATGGTGTTTTGTTGTTGTGGATGTGTAGGTAGGTGGTGTTTTGTTGTTGTGGATGTGTAGGTAGATGGTGTTTTGTTGTGAATGTGTAGGTAGACGGTGTTTTGTTGTGAATGTGTAGGTAGATGGTGTTTGGTTGTGGTTGTGTAGGTAGATGGTGTTTTGTTGTGGATGTGTAGGTAGATGATGTTTTGTTGTTGTTGTGTAGGTAGATGATGTTTTGTTGTGGTTGTGTAGGTAGATGGTGTTTTGTTGTGGATGTGTAGGTAAATGGTGTTTTGTTGTGGTTGTGTAGGTAGATGGTGTTTGGTTGTGGATGTGTATGTAGATGGTGTTTTGTTGTGGTTGTTTAGGTAGATGATGTTTTGTTGTGGTTGTGTAGGTAGATGGTGTTTTGTTGTAGATGTGTAGGTAGATGGTGTTTTGTTGTGGTTGTGTAGGTAGATGGTGTTTTGTTGTGGATGTGTATGTAGATGGTGTTTTGTTGTGGTTATGTAGGTAGATGGTGTTTTGTTGTGGATGTGTAGGTAGATGGTGTTTTGTTTGATCTGATTTGATTTGATTCAAAAACCGACATCACAGCACTCGGGGCATTCCCATAAGCGCTCCGTCCCCATCTTTAGCAGCCAGTGAAGAGTTCCGATATTAATGGTGCCAGTAGCATTCTGATTAAATGTCCGTCTTGCCTTTCCTCTAAGCCTCGAGCATCTGCCAGAACCTCTCGTCACCCCCAACTGCATCACTCTCACCAGACTGTGGTGATCCATCTGCTCCTCCGAACTGTACACGCTCTCCCACAAGGCACTAACCACGTCTGCCTTATCATGTATCAGTATTCCACTAAGTTGTGCAGAGCCAGCCAGTCTGTCCGCCTGTTCATTTCCCAACACACCGGCGTGCTCTGGTGAAAAAATCCAGTCAATACTCTTCACTCGTGTCCTCCACAGCGAAGCACGGTGTTTTGTTGTGGATGTGTAGGTAGATAGAGTTTTGTTGTGGATGTGTAGGTAGATAGAGTTTTGTTGTGGATGTGTAGGTAGATAGAGTTTTGTTGTGGATGTGTAGGTAGATAGAGTTTTGTTGTGGATGTGTAGGTAGATAGAGTTTTGTTGTGGATGTGTAGGTAGATAGAGTTTTGTTGTGGATGTGTAGGTAGATAGAGTTTTGTTGTGGATGTGTAGGTAGATGTGGTTTTGTTGTGGATGTGTAGGTAGATAGAGTTTTTGTTGTGGATGTGTAGGTAGATAGAGTTTTGTTGTGGATGTGTAGGTAGATAGAGTTTTGTTGTGGATGTGTAGGTAGATAGAGTTTTGTTGTGGATGTGTAGGTAGATAGAGTTTTTTGTTGTGGATGTGTAGGTAGATAGAGTTTTTTGTTGTGGATGTGTAGGTAGATAGAGTTTTGTTGTGGATGTGTAGGTAGATAGAGTTTTGTTGTGGATGTGTAGGTAGATAGAGTTTTGTTGTGGATGTGTAGGTAGATAGAGTTTTGTTGTGGATGTGTAGGTAGATAGAGTTTTGTTGGTGGGGTCGGTGAAAAGAAAAAGGGAAGGGTGTAAGAGTTCGCAACCTGTTGTATTAATCATGGTTGTTTCTACCACCCTATCTACCTGCTTGCTACTTACTTGCTTGCCTACCCCCTTGCTACTTACCTGCCTCATTGGCTACTTAACTGTCATCCACCCATCGGTCTATCTATCTAATCTATCTATCTAATCTATCTATCTATCTATCTATCTATCTATCTATCTATCTATCTATCTATCTATCTATCTATCTATCTATCTATCTATCTATCTATCTATCTATCTATCTATCTATCTATCTATCTATCTATCTATCTATCTATCTGTCTGTCTGTCTGTCTGTCTGTCTGTCTGTCTGTCTGTCTGTCGGTCGGTCGGTCGGTCGGTCGGTCGGTCGGTCGGTCGGTCGGTCGGTCGGTCGTCGGTCGGTCGGTCGGTCGGTCGGTCGGTCGGTCGGTCGGTCGGTCGGTCGGTCGGTCGGTCGGTCGTCGGTCGGTCGGTCGGTCGGTCGGTCGGTCGGTCGGTCGGTCGGTCGGTCGGTCGGTCGGTCGGTCGGTCGGTCGGTCGGTCGGTCGGTCGGTCGGTCGGTCGGTCGGTCGGTCGGTCGGTCGGTCGGTCGGTCGGTCGGTCGGTCGGTCGGTCGGTCGGTCGGTCGGTCGGTCGGTCGGTCGGTCGGTCGGTCGGTCGGTCGGTCGGTCGGTCGTCGGTCGGTCGGTCGGTCGGTCGGTCGGTCGGTCGGTCGGTCGGTCGGTCGGTCGGTCGGTCGGTCGGTCGGTCGGTCGGTCGGTCGGTCGGTCGGTCGGTCGGTCGGTCGGTCGGTCGGTCGGTCGGTCGTCGGTCGGTCGTCGGTCGGTCGGTCGGTCGGTCGGTCGGTCGGGTCGGTCGGTCGTCGGTCGGTCGGTCGGCCGCCGGCCGGCCGGCCGGCCGGCCCGCCCGCCCGCCCGCCCGCCCGCCCGCCCGCCCGCCCGCCCGTCCGTCCGTCCGTCCGTCCGTCCGTCCGTCCGTCTGTCTGTCTGTCTGTCTGTCTGTCTGTCTGTCTGTCTGTCTGTCTGTCTGCCTGTCTGTCTGTCTGTCTGTCTGTCTTTCTGTCTGTCTGTCTGTCTGCCTGCCTGCCTGCCTGATTGTCTTTCTGTCTGTCTATGATTGGCAGTCATGGATGCAGAAAAAAGAAGTAGAGAAGTAGAAACAAAATGACGCACTAGACTGTAGCTCAGTGGCTCTCAACCGTCCTAATGCCGCGACCCTTTAATACAGTTCCCTCATGTTGTGGCGACCCTTTAATACAGTTCCCTCATGTTGTGGCGACCCTTTAATACAGTTCCTCATGTCGTGGCGACCCTTTAATACAGTTCCTCGTGTTGTGGCCACCCTTTAATACAGTTTCCTCAGGTTGTGGCGACCCTTAAATACAGTTCCTCATGTTGTGGCGACCATTTAATACAGTTCCCTCATGTTGTGGTGACCCTTTAATACAGTTCCTTGTGTTGTGGCGACCCTTTAATACAGTTCCCTCATGTTGTGACGACCCTTTAATACAGTTAACTCATGTTGTGGCGACCCTTTAATACAGTTCCCTCATGTTGTGGCGACCCTTTAATACAGTTCCCTCATGTTGTGGCGACCCTTTAATACAGTTCCTCGTGTTGTGGCGACCCTTTAATACAGTTCCCTCATGTTGTGGCGACCCCTTAATACAGTTCCTCATGTTGTGGCGACCCTTTAATACAGTTCCCTCATGTTGTGGTGACCGTATATAATTATTTTCATTCATAACTTCAATGAATATGTTTTTTCTGATGGTCTTAGGCGACACCCCGTGAAGGAGTTGTTCGACCCAATTAAGGGGTCGCGACCGGCAGGTTGAGAACCACTGCTCTATATCAACGGACTTTGGACTTTGAAAGTTTTCTTTTTTTACAAAGTTTATATTTTTTAAGTTTTTTTTTTTTAACATGCTGCAGGAGATCGCAGATTATGGAGAGGCATGATCGCCCACGCCAGTCGGCAAGGCACCTGATGATGATGATATCACGAAGTCTCTGTGCTCCCGTTAAATATGTACTTGATGTCAAAATAAATCAATAAATGAATAAAAATAATAATAAACGGCAGAATGATGCAAAGTGTGTGATACTAATCTGGATCTTGCCTCCAGATAACGAAAGGCGACTGGCTGTCGGAGTTCACTTGTCTATTGAGAGCGATGAGCATCCAACTTTGGGAAACTATCACTCTTTTAAGAGTGAGGTCCCAGACTTATTTGATTCATATTATATCTGAGTACAACAGAGTCAGATAACGCGTGGATATTTTTAACTTTTTGTTTCGTTTTATATCATTATGTCTGAGTACAACCGAGTCAAATAATGAGTGAATATTTTAACTGTTTGTTTCGCTTTATATCATTATGTCTGAGTACAACCTAGTCAGATAATGAGTGAATATTTTAACTGTTTGTTTCGCTTTATCTCATTATGTCTGAGTACAACCGAGTCAGATAATGAGTGAATATTTTAACTGTTTGTTTCGCTTTATCTCCGTATAACAGGCTTGGCTTCACTTTACGGCGTTTTCTGTCTAAAGAGTATCAAACCAGAACCAAATGACCAAAGAGGTAATTTGTTTTTTAACACAAGCAAGCATACGTGTGTGTGTATGTATGTGTGTGTCTATGTTTATTTGTGTGTGGAGGGGGGAGGGAGAAAAGAAGAGGGGTGGGGGGGGGGGGAGTACTCACCATCAGTCAACCAATACATCTTTTACAGAACGTCGCTTTCTCCACGGCACGCCTGAAAGTCTCTCTTTCTCTAGCCAACTCTCCAGCCCTGTGTTCTTTCATGGCCAGTGCATCTTTAATGTCCTCTATCTACACTCACTGCGGTCGGCCTCTGCATCGTTTCCCAGAAACTGCACCTCCATCACCCTTGTTTACTGACTACCATGGCGCTTGACGCGTCCAAAATAGCTCAGCTTTCTCTGGAGGGTGCTGTTTATGAGCCAGTTGTCCTTGCTGTTCAGGTTCTGCATTTTCCTTCTTATTAGTGCGTGGTATTCTTAGAACATTGTGTGTGTATGTGTGACTGTGTGTGTGTGTGACTGTGTGTGTGTGTGTGACTTTTTGTGTGTGTGTGACTTTGTGTGTGTGTGTGTGACTCTGTGTGTGTGTGTGTGGCTGTGTGTGTGTGACTGTGTGTGTGTGTGTGTGACTGTGTGTGTGTGACTTTGTGTGTGTGTGACTTTGTGTGTGTGTGACTGTGTGTGTGTGTGACTGTGTGTGTGTGTCACTTTGTGTGTGTGTGTGACTCTGTGTGTGTGTGTGTGTGACTGTGTGTGACTGTGTGTGTGACTGTGTCTGTGTGTGTGTGTGTGTGTGACTGTGTGTGACTGTGTGTGTGACTGTGTGTGTGTGACTGTGTGTGTGTGTGTGACTGTGTGTGTGTGTGTGTGACTGTGTGTGTGTGTGACTGTGTGTGTGTGACTGTATGTGTGTGTGACTCTGTGTGTGTGTGTGTCTGTGTGTGTCTGTGTGTGTGACTGTCTGTGTGTGTGACTGTGTGTGTGTGACTGTGTCTGTTTGTGTGACTGTGTGTGTGTGACTGTGTGTGTGTGTGTGTCTGTGTGTGTGTGTGTGTGACTGTGTGTGTGTGTGACTGTGTGCGCCCGTATGTATGTGAGAGTCGCATTTCAGATCAAAAGCTCAGATGTTCTTCTACAAAGACCCAGTAAGAGTCCATGACTCACATCCACAAACTTCCACGGCAAAGATCTCAGAATATTTTACTTTAACCTGCATGCAGCTGCTGTGCCATACGTTTTTTTTTTATGCCAAAGGTTTTTTTAAAGACAAAGTGTCTATTATATTAGCGCTTAAAATACCTGATGCTAGAAAATAAAGTTTAAGTACTGCGTATCGTTGCGTACCTTGCGTATCGTTGCGTACCTTGCGTATCGTTGCGTACCTTGCGTATCGTTGCGTACCTTGCGTATCGTTGCGTAACTTGCGTATCGCCTGTAAAAAAAAAAAAAACAACTACTGTATACACACACATACATACACACACATACATACACACACATACATACACACACATACATACACACATACATACACGCATAATATGCACACATACACACACACATACAGGCACACACACACATACAGACACACACATATACATACACACATACATATACACACATACACACACATACATACATATACACACACATACATACACACACATACATACACACACATACATACACACACATACATACACACACTTCCTTGCTTGCAGACTGAATTTATGTACCTCATATTGGGAAATGAACCAAACATCATCAAGCACTAGGCATATACGCCTTTTCTCCACCGTCGACAAGAGCCTACAGCCTCACCAGACATTGACAATCTTCTCTCCCATAACCTCACCAGACATTGACAATCTTCTCTCCCACAGCCTCACCAGACATTGACAATCTTCTCTCCCACAACCTCACCAGACATTGACAATCTTCTCTCCCACAACCTCACCAGACATTGACAATCTTCTCTCCCACAACCTCACCAGACATTGACAATCTTTTCTCACACAACCTCACCAGACATTGACAATCTTCTCTCCCACAACCTCACCAGACATTGACAATCTTCTCTCCCACAACCTCACCAGTCATTGACAATCTTCTCTCTCACAACCTCACCAAACATTGACAATCTTCTCTCCCACAACCTCACCAGACATTGACAATCTTCTCTCCCACAACCTCACCAGACATTAACAATCTTCTCTCCCACAACCTCACCAGACATTGACAATCTTCTCTCCCACAATCTCACCAGACATTGACAATCTTCTCTCCCACAACCTCACCAGACATTAACAATCTTCTCTCCCACAACCTCACCAGACATTGACAATCTTCTCTCCCACAACCTCACCAGACATTGACAATCTTCTCTCCCACAACCTCACCAGACATTAACAATCTTCTCTCCCACAACCTCACCAGACATTGACAATCTTCTCTCCCACAATCTCACCAGACATTGACAATCTTCTCTCCCACAACCTCACCAGACATTAACAATCTTCTCTCCCACAACCTCACCAGACATTGACAATCTTCTCTCCCACAACCTCACCAGTCATTGACAATCTTCTCTCCCACAACCTAACCAGACATTGACAATCTTCTCTCCCACAAACTCACCAGACATTGACAATCTTCTCTTCCACAACCTCACCAGACATTGACAATCTTCTCTCCCACAACCTCACCAGACATTGACAATCTTCTCTCCCACAACCTCACCAGACATTGACAATCTTCTCTCCCACAAACTCACCAGACATTGACAATCTTCTCTTCCACAACCTCACCAGACATTGACAATCTTCTCTCCCACAACCTCACCAGACATTGACAATCTTCTCTCCCACAACCTCACCAGACATTGACAATCTTCTCTCCCATAGCCTCACCAGACATTGACAATCTTCTCTCCCACAACCTCACCAGACATTGACAATCTTCTCTCCCACAACCTCACCAGACATTGACAATCTTCTCTCCCACAACCTCACCAGACATTGACAATCTTCTCTCCCACAACCTCACCAGACGTTGACAATCTTCTCTCCCACAACCTCACCAGTCATTGACAATCTTCTCTCCCACAACCTCACCAGACATTGTCAATCTTCTCTCCCACAACCTCACCAGTCATTGACAATCTTCTCTCCCACAACCTCACCAGTCATTGACAATCTTCTCTCCCACAACCTCACCAGTCATTGACAATATTCTCTCCCACAACCTCACCAGTCATTGACAATATTCTCTCCCACAACCTCAGCAGTCATTGACAATCTTCTCTCCCACAACCTCACCAGACATTGTCAATCTTCTCTCCCACAACCTCACCAGTCAATGACAATATTCTCTCCCACAACCTCACCAGTCATTGACAATATTCTCTCACACAACCTCACCAGTCATTGACAATATTCTCTCCCACAACCTCACAAGACAGTGACAATCTTCTCTCCCACAGCCTCACCAGACATTGACAATCTTCTCTCCCACAACTTCACCAGACATTGACAATCTTCTCTCCCACAGAAAGCTGCTGCCAGTTCTGGATCCTGGGCGCTTTGGCAGACACTGTGAGATGTATCAGACGTCCAAGGGTCAAGCCTTATTTTTCCATCCTTGTCCTGGAGATTGTAATCCTCAACATTATGCAGATGTGCACAACGGGTAGGTGCCGTGGTTATCTTCTCTTCCCACAAGAGTGCTCATCGTTTAGTTCCCTTGTGTGATAAGCGCAACTGACAGATTTGTAGTCGGTATTAATGATGCCTAAATGAACACTTGTAGCATGAACGTATACGTAATATCAGCAAGTCAGCATTATATGGTCACAGGAGGATATACTTTCCGGGTAATGCACGAGTGCGAGGAAATGAAATAGCAGATGTTATTGCTGTTGCTACAAAAGAGTTCGCTACGTGAACACTCATTCATAGTGCAAAGTGAGACAATTTAAAGTATCATGCGTAAAATTGTGTGAGATGGAAGTAGACTTCAGTGTGATAGTGTGGCATGAAGATCAACTTTACAGAAATGAAGACTAGTTTACACAGTTAATTAGAACAGAAAGAACACACATAATATCTCAACTCCCCCCCCCCCACCCCTTTCCCACACTTTCACCAAACATACACACATACACTCACACACACGCGCGCGCACACACTCCCGCCTCTACCAAGACAACTGCACTTAAGCTTTTAACCAAATCTAGCGGGATATATCTAAAGATTAAAGGTGTAAATTTGTGTTTAGGTTTAGACAACAGAACAACACCATGACACAAGGGTAGTAACCCATAAGTGCTCCCTTCTACTTCTAACTCAAATCTGAGTTCGAAGAATCTCAGCGCAGTGCACGAACTCCGTAGCACCGGCGAGGATCATGAAATACTTTGGTTAGACCTTAAACTCCAAATTTTTGCTCGGGCAGCGCCGTTAGGCTACCGTTTTCAATGTCCAACTGCCAAGGGATTTTTTGACGTGCGCAAAAATATACATAGCGTCCAATCTTACTGCCCACACACTTGACTTTCATAGTTAATAATTTTGCCTGACTCCCTATTGATATTACAATAACTGAATAGTCATTAGGAAAATGGGTGGGGTGGGGGTAGATTTTTCATCCCTGCCATACAGCCAGAACCAGGAACAGAACTAAGCCTTGTAATCTGTTACTTTCCAGGAGAGAACGACATCTTGTTTCTGTTCCTTGCGAGAAGTCCCCGGAGCTTCAACTCTGTACAGTACGGCTACTTCAAAGGCACCGAGAATTTTACCCGCAGCGTCGCTCTGCTGACCCTGCTGCCGGTGTTGAAGCACTGCTTCCATCTGAGGGATACCACCGTTGTCCTCATCGGCATCTTCTCCAAGGCAACAGGCCTGGTGATCCTGGGGCTCGCTGAGAATCTCACAATGGTGTTTATCGGTAAGTATCTGGTAGTATTGAACATTAGGGAAAATTGGCTAGTTAACAACATCTTGTCACGGAAACTGAAATATTTCCGTTGGTCATATCAAGCAGCACGGCGGATTTGAAGGAATAGAAGAAGCAGAAGATATGGTACCAGGAAGGAGCGGAAGGGGGTCGAACAGCACAAAGATGGGCACATGATATAAATAACATCTTGGGCAGCGAATTGCATGAGACGGAAAAGCTGGTGACAGACCGATTTTCTGTCTAGTAGACCGTGATGACACCAACGTTCTTCAAAGGATCTGCTGCAGGATTTTGATGAGCTCTAATTTAGTTCTTTAAGAAACAAACGTACCTTGTTTACTCACTGCATTTTTCTGCGCCTTAGAACAGGATACAATCGACTTCGTAGCCACATGTACACACAATATAAAATCGGCGAATCAGCCATGTACACATGTGGATTGGCACCTGAGACAACAGATCAAGTCCTCCAAGACTGTCCCAAACACAACATATCAAGGCAAAACTTTTGGCCAAGAGAAACATCGGTGCAAGTCAAACTTTACGGGTCGCTGAGTAAATTACAAAAGACAGTAAAGTTCATACTAGAAACAACATTGTAGATATAGATAAACTATTTCAAACCAACGAAATAAAAAGAAGAAAAAGAGTTACTGCACACATCATACATGTTTTTAATTTCTCTGGCTTCACATTAATGTTATGTTCATGTAACTCATGTCGTGGGGAAATTCCTATTTTTGGTTTATGGTGTTAACTCTTTAAGTGTTAATAGGCAAGTAATTTTTGATAGGTAATCTATTCTAATGATATTTCATTTTTAACATATGCCAGTGAAAGTTAATGACCATTAAAGATATGGAACAAATGTTAAATGCAGCAGAAAACAAATGTCTCAGGAGAAAGATTAACATAAAATGGGAGGAATTTAAGAGGCGTAAAGAAACATGAGAAATGTCTAGGCAGCCAGTTACAAGAGAGGGAAGATGGTGCTACATTGGACACATTCTGTGCTAAGACGAACAGAGAATCATCCAACAGGCACTGAACTGGGAAAAAAGGGTTTGGACGTCCAAGAGAAACCCTAAGGTGAACGCTGAAGAGAGAGGCCAGAGCTGCTGGGCCTGATTCCGTGCATGATATCGAAGGACTACTCCGGATAAAACGCAATGGATGAATAGACAGCGAGCCCTATGCGGCATACAATGGCACAGAAGAACAATAAATAATTGGGCTATCCTCCGAATAACGGTCCTAAATTATCGAGGCCGAAAATATACCCTAACAAGGCCTAAGTCACGTGTCAATTGCGCACTTTCGTTGTCTTAAATTGAGCACTTTTGGCGATTTCCTCCACCGCTGAATGTATCCCCCACGCCGATCACGCGGCGTGGATTGGTGCTAAACTAGATGGCTGGGACTCACGAGCAGCAGCTACCGCATCTCCTGCAGCTTCCTTCATTTTATTTGCTCGTGAGTCCTAGCTATCTAGTTTAGCCCTAAATCACGCCGCGTGAGCGGCGTGGGGGAACTTTCAGCCGATGCGAAAGTCGCCGGAAGTTCGCAATTCGGCGGTGGCGTTTTAGTCCCTGGAAGTGCCCAATTGACACGTGACTGAGGCCTTTTTAGGGTATATTTTCCGCCTTGATAATTTATGACCGTCATTCGGAGGATAGCCAATGAATGAATGAATGTAATCAGGATGTAACTTAAATTATCTTAACTTTTTGAAAAATGTTCTGGTGTTCACCATAGTTGTAAATGCTTGTTGAATGCTGTATATGGTGTTCACAGTGGTGGTCTTTGCCATGCTGCAAGGGTTTCCAGCGGCGGCGCTGAGATCTAACATGTCCAGTCTGGTAGACAAGTATGAACAAGGTAGGCGTTTTCATCATGATCTGGCAATCAAAGTGACAGCTTCATATCAAACGGGTCGCTCCATAGCTGCTACGTTGTGGTGACAACGAAAACCACACATAAGGTCTGTCACTATCTGTTGTGGGCGAAATTACTAGGGATTTTTGGTTTTTGAACCTGAGGTTTGAGGTTTTAAACAACGGATCAACATAATGGCTCACGGGTAGTAACCCACAAGTGCTCCGTTCTTCTTCTAACTCAAGTCTGAGTCCGAGGAAGCTCAGCACAGTGTACATACTCTTTAGCAGCAGCGAGGATCCTGAAATACTTTTGGTAGATTTTTAACTCCAAATTTTGCCGGGGCAGCGCCGTTAGGCTACTCTTTCCTATTTCTAACCGCCAAGGGATTTTTTACGTGAGCAACAATGCACACGGGCGTCCGATTTCACTACCCAGAGACAAGAGGAAATACTAGAAGTCCAAGTCCACATGAAAAACGCTCAGCTCTTACTGGGGATTGAACCCGGAACCTCTAGCACTATAGGCGGACGCCATGCTTCGAGACCACACAGTCCCTAATCACTGGGGATTGTAAAGAGTTAATGAAGCCAATGTTTTGTGAAGCGTGGGCACACAATGGGTAAACATGTGTGATGAAGGGTTGGGAAAGTAAACATCTGAGGTCGATGGAAGACAGTGGAGCAAGAGCCACTGGAGGAAAACACGAGTTTTGAGGACATCATGGAGAAATTGTGTAATCCCTGAGGGTCGATAGCACGAAGATTGTGAATCCCGAGTGTTGGTCAGAAAGCGGGATCCACGTGTAACTGGCTGGGGTTCTGAAAGGTCCCGTGGTAGTTCAGTCAGTAGCTTTCAGTTCGTCTAAGTTTACGGACGTGTGTGTTCGAAGTGTGTGAGTCCAGTGGATCCAGGGACTGTGTTTTAGCGATGTGCTTTAGCAATATTTTATTCTGAGGAATTCTTGTAAACTGTCGGATGATTATGGTGGATTATGAGTAGGACTAGGAGTTTTGACTGTGTTTTTTCTAGAATGGACTTGCGTCGTGAGGCCTATAAGTGTTTGGATCGATACCAGTGCGGCCATGTGGCTTTGGTCAGCGGTGTCCTTGAGTGTACAAAGGGTGCTGGGGAACTTCCTGTATGTTGACCAACGTGGGAATGTGATGGGGAAGCTCCAGAGGCTGACTGACGGGATGTTAGTGATGCTTCCATGTGGGGCTGGGATTTCAGACGAGAGGTCTGGAGTTTTCACCAAATGAATGTTGAATGTTGTTGAATTAGGAATCGACATCACAGCACTCGGGACACTCCCATAAGTGCTCATTCCCCGTCTTAAGCAGCAAGCGAAGAATTCCAGCTTTGATGGCACCAGTAACCGTCTGATTGTATATCCGTCTCATCCTTCCCCTGAGTGTTGGACGTCGGCCAGATCCCCTGGTAACTCCTTGTAGCTCTATTCTTCTTAGACCAGACCATCATGATCTATCTGCGCCTCCGCACTGTATACTTGCACCCAAAGGGCCCTCACGGTATCTAACGTGTCATACATCAGTTCACAAACAAGAGGTGCAGAACCAGCCAGTCTATCTGCCTGCCTAACCTAACACGCCGACTATCTGCCTGCCTAACCTAACACGCCGACATAACCTGAAGAAAATATTCAAGTTTTCCCCAAAAGGTGCATCTTATCTTGTTTCCCAAAGAGAAGCGGGGTCGTTTAGAGAGCGAACCACCAGGGGATTGTCACTGCACATCACATAGGTGCATCTACGCGATCGGGTGGGAGCCACCCGTAGCACGCACCTGAGGCATAGTTCGCTAGGGGTGTTTGTCCATGTCTAGAGAGACTGCCGATGTGGGTTTGTGAAAGGCAGTAGAAGACTTGACAGTGCGCCATCGATTCCCCATCTTCGTCGTTGTGCTGGTCCATGATAATTAGACTGATCACACTACAAGGCCATACTTGGCGTTGTGTCTTGTTAGTTTTCGTAGAGGATGCTGCTGGTTACTAAAGGACATGTTAACGTGGCTACGTGTGCCTTGATTATAGTAGTGCCATTGTTTTTGGTTGGCTTCTCCTTGCTCGCCTGTAGGAAACTAATAGTCGTGTTGTTATCTGAGCGAGCTCTTGTATGTGACTGGAGCAAGTCATACACCCTGGACGCTTGGCAGGATGCGTTACTCATAAAATCGGAGGAAAATACGCCCCCCCCCCCACCCCCAACCACCCAACCACCCCCTTAAAAAAACCTTGTCAGAAACATTTAAAAAACATTTAAAAAAAAAAACATTTAAAAAACTTGCCACGTCTAAAAACAGTAAACCTTCCTATCCGCAATATGCCCATAACGCTCCTCGCTGATATCATTATAATCGTCATCATCATCGCCATCTTTATCATCGTCGTCACCATCTCCTTTACCACGTATCGTGGTATAGGACGTCGCAGGTCGACCCAGCCTAAAATGGGTACCAGGATGGCTGTCCTGGGGAAGTAAAGACGGCAGGCGTAATGCTGACCACATTACCCACCTAGTCCTGATTGGTCTGTAAAAAATATGGGTGCTCTTCCCATACGCCCGATGCGCCTAAAGGCGTGAAAAGGGATCTTTATTTGACTTTTTTCGTTTTGACGTAGTGATGCAGTGTCTGCAGCATATGCATGTGACGTAAATTTCTAGAATCTTGTTTCGGTCAACAACTGTGTTTTGTATCTACAGGTCGTCTGTTTGCCATAGTGGCGGCGTGTGAAGGTTTTATAAACCTCGTGACGACTTTGATCTTCAACGGTTGGTACCCTAAAACCTTGGACACGTTTGACGGAACTTGCTTTGAGTTTGCCGCGGGACTGTGTGGTCTGGCACTGTTGATAACTTGGTATGTCGGACTGGTGGTTGTATCGACTAGTGTACACACAACTTGAATCATCATCATCATCATCATTGTGATCATTATCATCACTATTATTTGTTTGCGTTCACCCTTTGTTAACACCAACTGGAAGGTCTGAATTTACATCTTATTCCAGAACTTGAGTAGTGCGTGCACATCCGTTTTACAGATCTGGCTTATTTGTTTTGCCGACTGTTGGTTCCTTGCCTCTCAGGCAGATGCACTTCGACTTTAAAGGAAACCCCAAACCCCTGTTTAGTAAACTCTTACGATAAGATTGTAAGGAAGGTGGTGGGTTTAGTCTTGTTTTTCCTTATAAAGAGGCCCAGAACACACACGGGTAATGACGTCATCCTTATAATACAGGGTCGCCCAAACCTGCGGACTTGGGTACCTTGATAATCAGGCAACAGCAGTTTCAACCTCACTGCAAACAGGTCAACCCCTTAGCTGCTCTATTCATGTGACAATGAAAATCACACACAATGTCCATCACTGTTGCGTTTAAGAAAAAGTAACCCAAACTGCAGTCTCAGCAAAGCCAGTAGCACACACATGCCAACACAAACAGTCCGCCTCTAGAAAGGCAGTTCATCATTGACGGAAGCAGCAGTTAAAAGAGATTTATCTGACGCCAGTTTTTAAATCGGCACTTCATAGCCCAACCAAGTTGGACAGTTGAACAGCATTCCGAATTAAAGCCGCAGCTCACAGTGTCACGTCCACACTTATCGCAGTTAATGGGCGTCGGAACTATTTTCTTTCAGTAAAGATATGGAGGAAAATACAACAGTTAATAATTGTCAGAAGTAAAAACGTACCACTACTGAAAACAGTTAGCCGGCCTATCAGCCATATTGACAAGAAGCTTAAGGGGTTTTAAGCTGAGGGTAGCCCCCCCCCCCCCCCCCCCCCCCCCGGCACACACCAATGCACCAACACTGTTACGGGAGCTGAAAGGGCTTTTTATCGCCTCTCGCGGATCGAGCATATAACGCTAGGCCCATATTTCTTTTTATATCCATTTGGCGCTCGACAGGCAATGTCAACACCATGTCGGCTACCTTTACTGTCCAGGACATTTCCTGGAACGCATTTTAGTCTAGGGTATCCTGAAATAAGCGGGGTTTGGGGGGTTAGTTTCAAATTTCGGAACTTATTACGAACTCGCCCGCACGACAGCTGTAATTGGAGGAATATGAACTTGTTGGTATAGCTTGGTTGAATTTTAAACCATTTGGGTATTTTATGTATATTCCTCCTCCTCCGTCTCTTACTGCTCTCTTGGCTGAACCATCTCTATACACTCTAATCCAACTCTGGTGTGGATAAAGCCTATTAATCTCATCTTCTGTAACTGACTTTATACCAGTGCTGCTCATTGGTGATTTAGAGGAGATCCCTGTTAGTGGTTCTGACTGTTGGCAGGTTAACATGATAAACACCCCCCCCCCCCCACCCTTCTTAGTCTGTTCCAGCCAACTTCCTTATCATTTGAGTTATCTGGAGTCCCCTGCTCTGATTCTTTTCCGTCTGTTTTAATGCATAATCTGCAAATGTTTAACTCGCTTGCAGTTGCTGTGACATAGGTTCTCCATGCTGTTTAGTTTTTACTCCAGTAACAGAGCCTTCTTGTACCAGTTATAGAAAATTAGCCACATCTTCAAAAGGTAAAACAATTATTGCACCATCTATAAATATAACAAACTAGTGATTGTGAATTTTATGTTAATATAATAATACAGTCAGCGTTTGTGGCTTAGGCGTTGCGAACGAGCTTCGTAATGCCGGGAAGCCAGGTTCGATCCCAGCTGCCGGCCTGGCACCTTGCGTTGGTTTCAACAGTGGTATCGAGAAACCGACCGTCAAGAGGCAATGGCAAACTACTGGACGTAAATTTGCATTGAAAACCACAACAGCCAAAAAATGCTAGGATTGGTTCTGCAACGTGTTGTAAAGGATACGCAGTTAACTTTAAACTTTAATAATTATACAATGAATGTAACAGTTTAATGTTAGTTTAATCGCATATTTCCCTACTATCTTTTCAGTTTCATCCATTTGAAGCTCAGAGTAACAGACCAGAATGAGGATGGTCTTAAACAGTTGCAGACATCAGGAGGAACAAAACTGGATACCACAACGACCACAGACACAAATACGAATGGCAATGAAAACATCTGGAAAACTAGACTATAATTTCATGTGGTCTGAAAAAAACCGGAGGTGGGAGATTAGCAGTGATCTTAGACTCGCCGTTCTAGCTATGATCCAGACAGGATTGAATGTTTACCATGGCTGATATCCAGCGCAATTCTTAAGACCCGTTCCAGGCCGCCCCAAGCACATACGGCAGTCCTTTTCAGGGCTACTATTCCCAATCCCAAAAAACTGGAAACTGCCCACTAAGCCTGACAAGCAGACATGTTGTAGCAGCAAGAAATCAAAACGAAGGCGAAAATGATCGCCGCAAAGAAACGAACTAAACTCAGACAGCAAAGAAACCGTCCTTGAAAAAGCAGGCCTTCAGGAGGCTAAAAAACGACTAAGTTTGACATTTTTGTTTTCTTTATCCAAGTTCCAAGTTCCAAGGCAGAAGAAGAAGAAACAGAAATATGGCAGACTCTTTGTGTTAGTAAAGATATGCACAGATAAGAACATAACAAATCATTAAATGTAATAACTCTTTATAGTTATAGTGGGCTGCGTGGTCTCGAGGTGTGGGGTCCACTTCGAGTGCTGGAGGTCCCGGGTTCAAGCCCTGGTGAAGGCTGGGATTTTTCTTTTCCCATGTAGACTTCTAGTAATTTCTCCTGGTTTCTGAGTAGTAAGATCGGACGCCCGTGTGTATCTTTTCGCCCGTAAAAAAACCCTTTGCAGTTGGAAATCGAAAAAGAGTAGCCTAACGGCGCTGCACGGGCTAAATTTTGAGTTTAAAATCTACCCAAGGTATTTCAGGATCCTCGCCGGTGTTGCGGAGTTCGTGCACTGTACTGAGAATCGTAGGATTCAGCCTTGAGTCAGTAGTAGAACAGAACACTTATGGGCTACTACACTTTGTGCCATGATGTTGATCCGTCGTCTAAACCTAAACCTAACTCATTATATTTCGGTGCAAGAGCCTTCTTCAGTTTGGCACACAAGATCATGTTACTTTGAGCCATTAAATGCACAAAAGTTTAAATGTGCAATGAAAATGCAACGCAGTAGACCCCACATACTGATAGGGGAAAACAATCAAGGAAAGTTTCAGCACGCATGCAGGAAATTATGTAATGCGGATGAGGATTCTTAGAATATTTGATCTCACCTACATACTTGTATCAATGTCAATGTATGTGAAATGAACTTATCCATTCATAACGCTAAAATAATGCAGTTACGAACATATACAGAAGACCCCATGTTCTGATCAGAAGTCTCATGGTAATAGGACAGTAAAGAAAAGAATTAAGAACACGGCAATGTGAAATGGATTCGTATTTCATCATCATCATCGTTATTCCTGGGCATTCAGGAGTAAAAGGTAACGACTGAGCAAACCAACTGGCAAGTATTTCACAACTTGAACTCAACCACTTCCATACATTGTCTTCTTCTTCTTCACTTCCTCTTTTACCGCTGTGGGTGTCAAGGGAGATAAAAGGTTCTGTTTCTAGCTCTTCTGGCTGCCTCGACCATAGGCACATCGTGCTGTTGTAGAGTTTCTCTGATTTTATCCTTCCATCTTGTTCTTGGTCTACCCTGTGCTCTACGTCCTTCTTCTCTTTCCATGTATGCTTTGTATGGTATGGTGTCACAAGGCATTCTCTAAGTGGGCAAACCATTTCACTTGCTGTCTTTGTAAGCAATCCAGAATTGGTTCTGTGCCGACTTGTTCTCTTATGATCTCATTCCTGATCTTATCTCTTATGGTTACATTGTCTGAGAAAGATAAACATTTAGTGGCAAGACATAGCCCCGGACACTGTCCTGCTCGACAGGACTGGCATACACAGAGTCTATAACGTCCTGATGCAGTCACAGATTCGATGGACTGGCCATATTGTTCGAATGCCCATCGGCTGCCAAAAATAATCTCCTGTGGTGAGATAGGTGAAGGTCGACATTCTCATGGCGGCCAGAAAAAGCGCTTTCAGGACACACTACAGGCATCATTGAAAGCCTTTAGTATGTAATAGGCTGGAAACTTACTGTTAAGCAGCTCAACGATTTTATTTAATCTGGTTTTAAAATGACTAAGAGGCCACAGGAACAGTTTTTAGTTTAAGACAGTAACAAGCGGAAAATCTGGCCACTGAATATAAAAAGGAACTGACTCAGTATTTGCCTCCTATTTTGGCGGTCGCTCTGTAGTCAGCACGGTATGGTCAAGACGCCATGTTTGCCGTTGTTGACTGCACTTGGTCTCAACGCACAGGTGTGTCAGATCGGACCGGCTGAGCGACGCTAGACTGGCTCGTGTTCGCGATAAAGGTACATTTCTTTTGGTTAGATGGTGTTAGAATTGATTTTCATTGTGTATTCTCGCTAGGAGATAGTTTGACGGCAGGCCGCTATAAGTGATTTGTTAGTCTGCTAGTAGCTGTCAGTATTTTGTTATTCATTGGTTTACCAGCTGCTTGGTTGGTTTTCTGCTGGTCTGCTCGTATACCTTCTAGCTAGTTGTTCTCTAGTATACTTAGTGTTCGGAGTGTGTCATCGTTATTATGTGTCATCAAGTAAATAAAGTTTCTCAATTTGTCGACTTACATTCTTCTTATTTTAGTTAGTGTGCCTAGGTTTTACTGTTACACTATATTAGACCCTACACAGAAGATTTTATATCAGGGTGAGATATTTTTATTCTTACCCCCGCCTAAACGAACTTTTTTTTTTCTTTTCTTGGTACTAAGGCAGCTTAAGGTTGGGTTTTGGCTACAACTCGCCACGTGATATTGTTAGAACTCTTGCAGGTTCGGAGTCGAGATTTCAAGGAGTAGATTTCCATATCCTTTATAGTGATCTCTTTTCCTTTATAGTGATCTCTTCTCTTTCCTCCATTACAAGTTACCCCCATCTGTTTTTCTTCTAGTACAAGTGTAAACCTGACACCTGGAAGGTTGCAGCAAAGAACGGACTTTATGGCGCACTTATATCCGATTCCTGAAGTATCAAGAACAAGGGCAGCTCAACAGCGAAGAAGGCCAGAAAGAACCGTCAAATAGGCTCTTACTGAAAGCAACGTGTCCATATCACTACTAAGAATACGCAAATAAACAGGGGGGGGGGGACCTTTGAGGCCGTTAAATATTATGAATTAATCGAGTAACAGAAAGTGTATTGATCGGCACTCAAAGAAAGAAGTAGAAAGATAGAAGAACACACTAGACAACATTAAAATCGAAAGCTATAGTTAACGTGCCTGAAATTGAACCTGTCACCTCCAGACGGCGTCTGCGCCTCGCCATCAATACAAGTGCACTAAAGAACATGGTCAACTAGGCACCTCCCCCCCCCCCCTCAAGAATACGCAAACTGGGAGTTAAGATCGGCACAGCCAAGCATGTGAAGCACACCGGACCCACACGAAGGTACTATTAACCGCACGTTGCTGATGAATATGTTGAGAGGGAAATCTGAAATGCCTGTGGATGTGTCCGGAGTGCTGTGATGATAATCTTACTCATAACTCGTCCTGATAACTGTTTCAATATACAATATGTCAGTTATTCATAACCCTTTGACCTTGATTCCATGAAAGATACCGTAAATCTGGGATAGACATGGCTTTTCTGCGCGAACTCGGACCACAAGGATTTTGTCACCCGGTCGCCGCGAAGGCTAGTTTAACTTACTGAGCTTGCGCGCCCGGCAGACATGTGTTTAAGTGCATGTACTGTGTGTTCATGGAGAGAGAGAGAGAGAGAGAGAGAGAACACATCAACAGAAAATCAATTCTAGATCAAGCAGGAGTCCCCCCAAAAAAGTAGTCTAAACGCAATAAACCAAGAAAGTTTTAGGGAGATTTCCTGTCTACATCTGGCCGACCTTTGCAGACTAAAGCTGGTAGGCATAAATTACGTGGCTAGGTGCATATGAACAAAGCGAAACAGGCACCTTTCCAAATTTTCCATGAAGGTAGCTATAAGGCCTTGTTTAAATGCTTTATAATAATAATATGCTGATTGACAGATAAATATATCTAGGGAAAATGTATGAATAAAAACTTTTTAACAGAGCACTTTTGTACATAGCTGAGAGCGGAGAAAGGAAAGAAAAGGGGAAGAGAGAGGGGGGGGGGGGCGAGGGGGAGAGACGATCAGATCTTTGATGCCCCAAGCACTTTAAATTCTGCCCCAGAGAGTCGTCTGAACACATTATGGGCCGTTTGGGGAAACCAGTGTGCTGGGACCCCTACAACAAGCACCCACAGGAGCGGGGGATAAAGGACACACCTGACACACACGCACGCACGCGCGCGCGCACATACACACATAACACACACACACACACCAACACACACTAACACACAACACACACTAACACACAACACACACACCAACACACAACAACACAAAACACACACACCAACACAGAACACACACACCACACACACACAGATTAGCATGGAGCCTAGGGCAAGTGTCCAGCGAGCCCATGTGTCGAGACGCCACTGCTGCCCAATACATATGTAATTCAAATATAAACAAGAATAAACCATAAAATCAAATGTTATTTATCGAAACTCACAGCAAGAAAAGAAATATCTGTGCTTTTAAGCTTTTTCATCCTAACTCGTCTGTTGCGCGATTTGGCAGGGGACCTATTCACAATTCCCCGCCCATCTACACACTAACTGACCTTTCATTCATGCTTTCTCAGACTGTTCTATGTCAGAGAGGCGTCACTGTATCTTGCCTCCAATTACATCAGGGCTAATGTCAATTGTCCTATACTACACGTCAACACAGCTTTTAACGACTCCAGAACATCTAAAACTGGCCCTAACCCAAACCCCTACAACCCGAGGCCTGAGCCTAGGTACCACGAGAGACTCTTTTCGAAGAAATCAGTTAAACGTGAACCCCCTCTGACCTAGACTACACTGAGAAAATGTGTAGTTGGGTCGGGAAACGTGGATAGGGCCTGGTAGGGAATTCCTAGGAAATTGCCTGGAAAGTATGGGAGAGGGTTTGGGGTAAGGGTCGGGGGGGGGG